CCCCAAAACCCCAAAACCCCTTGATATGTAGTAAACGATTTGTTAAAGAATTATCATGTCATAAATATATCTTGGAATAAATATTATTCAAGCATCATCATCTATATTTTATATAGGAAGTTATCCTATTAAATTTATCGTTTATGATTTTTATATCCTGAAACTCTTTTTCAGAGTGGCTGCTTGTTCTATGCATAGTCATTAGTTAAGAAAATAAATTACCCTGACATTAAGATGTGGGAGAGTGTCGTCATGAATTCTAGGTGGTGATTCTTCCAAGTTATTATTGTAGCCTCCAGTGCCACCTCCTCTAATCACACTGCTGTTCTTGTTGTTGATCTGGGCTGAGTTCTTGTAGAAATGATATCCAGTTCGAGCACTAGCTTTAGATGAAGCGTTAACACCTTACGGCATTTCAACAGTTATAGAGTGATCCTAGATCAAGGAATTGTTTGTCTCATCTATCGCTCCTGCGGTTCTCCTCGGCTCCATTCTCGACTGATCATAATTCTGCTCTGGCCTCATCATAGAGAGGATCTTAGAGAATCCTGGTCCGTACTAGAAAAAGACATTACTCTAGATAAAGCTTACTCTAGCGATTCTATCATTAGTTTCTCTGAATGGAAGTTTCTTCCATGGCTGATAGTCAGCCATAACTCCTTGCAGATTAGTTATATTTCTTTCGCATGAAGCACAAGATATGCCACCAAGAGGCTTCTTTGTAAACATAGCATCTTCTTCACTTTCTCTACCTCCTCCAGTCTGTCTAGCCATCAGCAACTCAAATAGACTCTTGACCTAGAACTTTTATAGAGTTAAATCTTTACATTTTTCTCAAGAGCAGCTAATCTCTTAAGAGTGTCTGCTCTGTCAGCAAAGCTTGCAAGTAATTTCTTGATCATTTCGTTTATTTTGTCCATAATTCTAGCCTCAAGATCATCTAGGTCTTACTTATCTGCCTTCTTGTTTATCTAGTCTTAATGATTCTTAAAATTATTTCCAGTTTCATCAGTTAACTTGTTAACATCAGCCCTGAGGATTCTCAATTGGGACTCAAGGTCCTTCATTGCTTTTTCCAAAGCTGATGAACCTCCATGATCTTTATTCATATTAGCAGACAAGTCATCAACCTATTTCTTGAGGTCTGCTAGTAATTTACTCATCGTCTTAATCTGATTCTCAACATACTCCATTCTGCTTCTCAATAACATCACATCGTTATTACTGGCCCCTGAGCCACTGCCTCCTCCGACGCCCTTTAAATTACTTAGGAGATCCATTAATCTAGCAATTTCACTTGTGTTCATGTCTACATTGGCTTGAATCTCTTTGATTAATCTCTCTAGATTCTTTAAATCGTCCTTAGAGACAAAATTGGCTAGAAGTGTCTAAATAGATTCAATCTGCTCTCTTAATGACTAGATGTTAAGATGCTTTAGATCCCTATTAACAAAATCATTGTTTAAAGTTGACTTACTTAAGTATGCTGTTAATTGAAGATTCCATTTGTGGGAATTTTTCTAAAATTTGTCTAAGCTAAGCAATCTCAGCACTAGTTAGTCCTGATTAGCTATGACCTTAGGGACCAGTAACTTTAACTTTAGTGCCCTTGTCTTCTACAACTGAATTGCCTATCATCTCCCTTAATCTGGCGACTTCATTTGCGAAATCAATCTTATCCAATTTATTTTCCATTTCCTCTTCAAGTCTCAAAAGTCTATTAAGTAGATCTTCAAGGCCCTCAAAGCCGTTGAGCTTGGTGTTCAGGTCATGTAGCTTAGCTAATATGTCCTCGATATCGAGTCTATTAGTGTCAGTTTGATCCTTGCAATCCTTGAGCAATGCTTCATCAGTCTCAACTCTCTGCTCTAATTCACTCAATCTGTCATTCAGCTCCTCCATTTTTTTCTGCATTTCATTCTGGTCATCTTTGTCAGCAAATTTAGCGTAACATTCTTTTCTCAGATTATCAACTAATATCTCCAACGCATCAAGTAATCCCTTGCCAGTACCATCATCCATCTTGCCACCACCAACACCGCCTAGAGTCTTCATTAGCTATAGGGAACTGTCAAGCTCTGCTGTTTTTGCTTCCTAATCTTTCAGTCTGGCAAGAACTAATAAATATCGGTTATTTTCTCTTATGATCATTACTATCTTTAAGAGTGTCATCATTTGATTGCTTGAACTTATCAAGTTCTTTCTACAATGCCTCAATGTCCTTCTCATTCGTGCCAGTTCTGTCTGTGACTCTGTTTAATTCATTTCTCAATTCATTTAAAAGTCTTTCATGGTCCTTAAGTACTTAGTTGGCATCCTAATGTAATTAATTTAATGCTCAATTATACCTTATCGAGTCCTCCTCCAGAAATGTTAGACGTTAAATTGCTATACTGAGTTACAATGCTATATATTTTACCCTCCCTAAATCTTGTTGATAATCTTAGCCTAAGCTAGTTGATTCTTGGCGAGAAACTCAATGGACTGCTTGAGTATCTCGAAGGAATAACTCAAATTGAAAAGGTTGTTAAGGTCGTATGGGAATTCCATTACTAGTTCAACTTCACTCATTTTTATTTAAGATCTAAAATTTAATTGCTGAGTAACCTGATTAACTTTTATTATTTAGAATTCTTCTTGCTATTTCTTCAAACTATTATATCTTATTTCCAGGGGTTTTGGGGTTTTGGGGTTTTGGGG